GGAAAGATTGAGGGCGAGAGGAGAAGGGATGACAGAGGATGAGATGGCTGGATGGCATCACCGACTCGATGGACATGGGTTTGGGTGGACTCCGGGAGTTGGTGATGGATAGGGAGGCCTGGCGTGCTGTGGTTCATGGGGTCACAAAGAGCTGGACATGACTAAGCGACTGAACTGAACTGATTTGCAAAACAGAAACAGACTCATAGACTCAGAGAATGAATTCATGGTTACCAGGGGAGGTGTGGCAAGAGGGACAGGTTGGGAGATTGGGATGGACAAGCACACACTGCTGTGGATAGGATAGATGACCACACCTGCTAACAGGACCAAACCTGCCAAATAGGGCCTACTCTCCAGCCCAGGGAACCCTGCTCCCTACTCGGTCCTCAGATCTCGACCCCCTGTATCGTGCATCTTCCTGGTGGCTGTGACTCTGACCTTCCTTGACTCAATACCGTGTGTACTCCTTTTCCCGTGGTGAAGGATCGGTCTTGGAACACTGTCCACGTACATTGTGCAGCTCTTAGGAAACAAGCTGTTTTATTTAATGAAACGTTCAGTGTTTCAGAGTTCTGCTTTGTCCTGAAGAGCAGACATTTACTAAATAGTCCATTAGATGCTTGCAAGGATGAATGCCTCTCTTTCTTATTCTAGAGCAGTGATTTACTGCAGCGAGCTCTCTGGCATTATGACCGTCATTGTTCTTTTCTTAATAATTAAAATCGGGAAGTGACTATGGTGAATAGAGGTCCTAGTGGCAATCCTCCCTATGGTGTCCTCGGGCACCCGTCAGCAGGGAGGATGCGGTCAGCCCACCGTCCCTGTCGGTTTTGCTGGGGATGAGGGTCTCTGGTGGGCTGATTCTGATGCTGGCACATCGACTGTTGTGCTTTCAGGGCGCTTTGCTCCCCTCCTCCTGGGGGTCACCTCCTGCTCTTGCTCTCAGTGATGGCGGATCCCTGCCCAGCATTCAGCCCGCCCCTCTTCTGTTGTGGGAGGCATGTGGTTGGGTGGAATGGACCCACGCCCAGATCCAGGGCAGGACGCGATTGGCTTACATCACTCAGATGTTCATACTTTGTTGGCTGTGGTGATTCATGCCTGGAAGGTTGTGTGACATAATGGAGTCTAATCATTGTGGAGCCAGGATGAGGACAAAGACAGATAAGATGGATCCAAGGGATCAGAAGTAAAATAAGCAGTGCCCACCTGAGTCTATGCCAGGAAATTATATTAATTCCAGACATTCTAGTTCCATGGACCAATAAATGCCCTTTGTGTTAAGATAGTGGAGTTGGTTTTTTGTTACTTGCAGCCCAAAACATTGTTACTGAAACTGATAATTCATGTTCCTCTCTGGCTTCAGCCCTGAACTGGCTCCACTTTCCCCTCCTAACCTCCTTTGTCGTTTCGCTGGGTTCCAGCTCCAGATCTCCGTCACCTGGTACCCACAGCACAGCCTGCCAAATGTCTTCTCAAAACGTGGCCTATGCTTGGCCATGGAAAGGGCTACTCATCCACTCCCTAAGACCTCTTTAGACTCAGCAGATTAAGACATGATAATTGTGTCCTGTAATAGTGGCTTTCAGTCATATAATGCAAAATGGCTGCCTTATTCTGATTCTATATACAAGCTCTAAGGCCAGAGAATGGTGAAGATTAGTCTTCTGGAATTGGTGTTCAGGGTCATTATTTCTCCCACAGCAAACCAAAGTTCATTTATTAATTTATGAATGGCAGATGATTAGACTTGGAACCTGGGAAGCATAATCTTTAGCAAATCGTATTTAGTGTAGTTCACCGTGCTTTGACCTCTGAGAGAGAAGTTGTCTCCAGCCATACGGGCCAGTGTCCAGGGCATGTCCATGCCTTTGGTACAAGAGCTGTTCTGCCATGCTCACCACATAACAGGAGTGGGGGCTCCCCGGTCACAGGAGTGAGTCACCGTGATTATGAGCATGGTGTGCATTACGGGAAGGGTTTTAAGAACTGGTGTGGGTTATTCTAGGAGGTTAGGGAACATTTCACTTCGCAATACTGAAAAATAAAACCAATGAATTCTATTGGTTGGACATGGTTAAGTGCAGAGTTGCTTAAAGACAGTGGAAAACAGAGTCTTGGATGTTTGAGGTCTGACGCAGAAAACTGTACTTAGTTTCATGACAAGGACTCTCGAGAAGCTTCAGAACGAGCAATACTGTGGACGCAGAAGCAAAAACGCGCCCCGTGTTGAAAGTTGGGGCACTTTAGCTGCTCAGTCGTGTTCAACCCTTTGTGACCCCGTGAACTATAGCCCACCCGGCTCCTCTGTCTGTGGATTTCTCCAGGCAAGAATACTGGAGTGGGTTGCCAGGGGATCTCCTCCAGGGGATCTCCCCAACCCAGGGATCAAACCCAGGTCTCCTGCCTTGCAGGCAGATTTTTAACCATCTGAGCCACCAGGGAAGCCCCATGTTGAAGGTATGGGTTTTTCTCTTTCCTCCTCAACAGTGCATTTATTGGTCTCTGATATTCTAATGCATAGCTGACGGTGCAGCAAGTCAGCTTTGGTTGAAATCTGACAATGGGCACATAGATTTTTTTGACCAGCTTTTGAAATCTTGCCTGGTGTGTTCACATATGCCCAAGCATATTTGTAATTTGCTCAGTGACCTTGGAACTCTTAATTTAGAAGAAACAAGTACATCTAATGACTTACCCAGTCCTGTTGGTCATATTTTCAAATTCTGATTCATGACCCAATGCTTTTCCTTTATTTATGTGGCCACTTGACTGACTTAGAATCTTCTTTCTTGTTTCTGTAACTGCTGTGGTGTGTTAGTTGGTTTCTCTGCCTTTTGGTCTTCCCTTCTCTACAGAGTGGTTATAGAATCTCCTGACTCTTCTGGGTTCCAGCTGAAAACACCACCATGTACCCCCACCCCAGCAGGCATGGCCTAATGCCTGGACTCATTACCTGGCACGGGCGTGCCTTCATGATATAGACGCAGCTGACCTTGGTGTCCGCCTCCTGTTCCTCCTGCACACGTGTGGGTACCTGCAATGTGCCCTGTCACTCTCACCATCCGTACCCTCTGTCCTCTTGGAAAGCACACCCCCTCCATGTTATTCCTCCTTGTTAAGGCCTTCTCAGCCTTCCTGTGTTGGCCCAGCCAGCATTTCCTCACTGACCCCCAGGTGCGCCCCACGTCTTGGGCTGGTGGTCAGCCTCCCAAGCTCCTGGAGGGCTAGAGCTGTGCCTTGCGTTTCTGTATCTCTGGTATCTTTATTTACTGCCTGGACCGGCCTCAGAAGGCTTTGCGGGATGGAAGAATGAAGCCATAAGGTAGATATTGTGCTTTGGTCTCTCTCTCAGAGAAGCAGTGAGTGAGGCAGGCTCCCTGTGCGCTCCTGGGGGTTTGGGACTGTGACTGGGCAAAAGCGCTGCCCTTGGGAGAAGACTGCTGTTGGCCCTGTTCTGGGTTGTTAGTCAGTCTAGACTTCTGACTACATGAAAAGCAACACAGCGTGCAGTCCCACCAGTCGGGCATAGCAGCTGCAGCTGGCCCAGCCCACCCAGACTGGCCGCCCAACCTGCCACCACGTTACGCGCACCCTGGACTTTGGGAAGGGCAGGTGGGAGTGGCAGATTGGGGCAGAAGCATCATTTATCGATGGGTCTTAAGACCCCTGCACCAGAGTCCTCTCTATGGGATGAAGTTTCAAGGGCTCTTTCAAGAATGGGTCCATTAAGATTTTAAATTTTCAATTAAAATGGAGCCTAATTATTCCTAATGTACATTTATCAATGTGAAAAGTAAAAGCTTGAGGTAATTTTTTTCATTTCATCGCCACAACAACCCAAAGGTATAGGAACTGTTTTTATGCCCATGTTACAGATAGGGAAATTGAGGCCCAGAGAAATGTAATAACTTATGTAACTTTCCAAAGGCACGCATTTACTGGTGGTGGAGTTAAGATTTGAAATTATATTGTCAGGCGTCAGGGACTTGTATTCTTAATTAATCACCTCTCTGAAGCTCTGCCACCAGGGAAAGCCATGTGCACATTTTCAGTTCTTTTTATTGATACTGTGTCAACAAAAGCATATGAAGTTTTACCTATATAAACAAGCTACCAAGATATGAAGCATCAAATATTTAGAACTAAGAATATGGAGTAAAAGTAAATATGTAGGGAAAATACAGCTCTTGGAGCTGTGCAAAGGCAGGGATTATGATTCACAGAGTAATGGTGACGAGACTGAGGTCAGAGAGAAACCAGGCGGAGTTGTCCAAGGTCACAGAGTGGCCGACGGGGAGTTGGAGAAGAGCCGTCTCACAATGAAACCCTCCCGGGGCTTCAGTTGCTCGACCCTGGCAAGTCTCTTACTTAAACGTGTACTGAAAACTAGAGGATCAGTAGGCTTAGTGCAGAAGTCCTACTTATCGCTCAGTGTAGGATTAGAAGACAAGGTTGACTCAATGATTTCTGCCACTGAGAGCCAATTGCTCTGATATTCAGAGGAGCCGCAGAGCACCATGAGATAACATTGCACACCCGTTATGTCGGCTACTCTCAGAAAGACAGACGACATTAATACCAACTGTTGGTGAGGACGTGGAGAAACTAGGACACTTGTGTGCTGTCCGTGAGAATGCGGCATGGTGTAGCCACCGTGGAAAACAATCTGGTGGTTCTTCAAAAAAATAAGGATTACTGTATGACCCAGCAATTCTGCTCCTGGGTATAGGCCCAGAAGAACTGAAATCAGGGACTCAGATATTTCTGTGTGTGTGTTCTGAGCAGCATTAGCAGAGTTTCCATTTGCAGATGAGTGGAGAAACAAAATGTCTGCACATGCAGCAGAACAGTATTTATTCTTAAAAAGGCAGGAAATTCAGCACCTGCTACAGCATGGGTGAAACTTTAGGACACCCATGTCCTAAAGAGAAATACACCATGTTAAGAGAAATACACCATTTGCAGAAGGACAAACATTGTACGGTTCCGCTTACCTGAGGGACCCAGAGTGGTCCGATTCATACAGAGTAGACTGTCAGGGCTGGGGGAGAGGGAAGGAGGGGTCAGTGTTTAGTGGGGCCGGAGTTTCAGCTTTGCAAATAAGAGTTCTGGAGATGGATGGGATAAATGTTGGACAACCACGTGAATGTACTCAGTGTCAGCTGAACTGTGCACTTAAATATGATTCAGGCAGTCAGTTCTGTGATACGTGCGTTGTGCCACAATGGAGAAGGAGGTTTTGAAATTAGCTGGCTGGGCTCCTCAGTCAGGGTCCAGTCGGGAAAGCTGACACTGCCCCCGCCTTTCAGATATGAGGGGCTGGGGTAGGAGGTTCAGCCATGGGGTGGTGACCAGCGTTGCTGTGGCCAGCGGAGGTTGGCAAGGGCAGGAGCAGGTGCGGCCCAGGGCTGCAGGCCCTCGGGGGAGGATGTGTTACCTACTCCAGAACTGGGCTACACTGAGGCAGTCAAAGCCCCTGGGAGGAGGTGTGCCCCAGTGGATGGCCGGGGGCTGGGGAGGAGGAGAGGCAGAAAGCCCAGAGCCCACCTCTTGCACCGTTTGCTCTCCACAGCCTACCACAGCGTACGCTAAGACAGTGTGCGGGGAATCCAGACACGTCACCTCCTGTGACCCGTGTAGAGCAGGGGTGCGGCAGACGTGAGGAAAGCGTGTGAGTGTGAGCCGGCAAAGCTTGAGCACATACCCCACGGGAAGTGTCTTTCCCCATCACTGAAACAACTCTTCAAATTTCCATAAAAAAAAAGTTTAAAATCTTCCTACACTGATTTTCCAGCATGACAATGCTCAGTGATGCTGGTTAATCTCAGTTACATTAATTCACCTTTTACAGGTTGGACACATTCAAGTAGAGTCCATAGATATATTTGATCAGAGGTTTGACTTTGGGTGTCATTCACGGCTTCAGAGATTGTCTCTTGGTGATCAGCTTAAGTCATCCTGAGCTGAATGGCAGTCTGTTTCATCTCGTTTTGATTTCTGTTTGTAATTGTGAGCTCACATGGACCACAACTCCTACGATTCCTTCAAACTATTCCTCAAAACTCCTACTATTCTTTCAGAACTTGATCCCTTCTCCTTTCACTCACCCAAGTCTAGGTCAGGGTGCATTTTCTTTGCAGCCTCAGCCTCCAAATTTACTTGGTATCTAATGCTTACATTAACTGTGATTTGTTGATTTGTCTATTTTTTCTGCATAAGCCTCTAAACTATTTGAGAGCAGAGACAGTATACTATATATGTATATGAAAGTGAAAGTCACTCAGTCGTGTCCAACTCTTTGTTGACCCCATGGACTATATAGTCCATGGGATTCTCCAGGACAGAATACTGGAGTGGGCAGCCTTTCCCTTCTCCAGGGGATCTTCCCAACCCTTCAGTCCCTGGGTTGGGAAGATCCCCTGGAGAAGGAAATGGCAGCCCACTCTGTGTGTGTACACTATTGAATCTCTACCACTAACTGACAATAACCAAGGCAAGGCCAGTTCCATGTTGTTGTTGTTGAATCTGATCTGACTGTTTGCGACCCCGTGGACCACCAGATTCCTCTGTCTGTGGACTTCCTAGGCAAGAATATTGGAGCAGATTGCCATTTTCTTAATGAAAAGCTGTTTGATGAGTAGGAGAAATAGGGCCAAGCACCTGCCTGGCAGGAGCCGGAAAGAGGAGGTAGAGCTTCAGGTGAGCTGGTCAGTGCTGGTGATGGGGAAGAGCAGAGCTGCTCGTGCAAATCATGAAGAACAGCTAAGAGTCGGCTGTAACAAAGTGCTTTCTGAATTTTTATTTTGAAAAATTCCAATAGACATTCAGAACTCTGGAACTGGCTCCAGTAGAGATGTTGGGGCTTGGAGATAAAGCTTAATTTAATAGGTGGGCTTTGTACAGGAATCCTGATGCAGCAGCTTGATTTTCCCACTGACAGCTGCCACAGGGTCTCCACCTGTCTTATAGTCTCTTCTCACACCTTGGTTCTCACTTCCTCACTGACAGGTGGTGTCTAGGCAGCCTCCCCTTGAAGCTCAGTGGGGCTTTGTGTTTGCCTGATCAGCAGAACACAGCAGGAATGACACTGGGACCCACTCATAAAGATGCCCTGTGCCCACCTCCTTCCAGGAGGCGCTTTGCTCTTGGAACCCAGCCTCCATGCTGTGAGGAAGCCCAAGCAGTTCCTAGTGAAGTCCCAGTCGTGGCCACTGCCCCAGCAAGCCCAGCCAAGCCACGTGACTCATGGTCCATGGAGTGTCACTGCCGCCCACTCTGTGTGACACAAACGACTGTTCTTCTACGGAGCATGGAGCTCACTGATCATGGATACGCATAGGCGTGCGGAAGGACCATGACACGGGTCAGGCAGGCCTGGGTTCCAGCTCTTATTCTCCCCACCTTGCTGGTGCTTTAGTCCTGCTACCACACTGTCAGAAGCCGAGTTCCCCTGTGCACAACATGAGGCTCATAACAGCTCTGCAGAGAGACGTCATGATCATTCAAAGAGATGCCGCCTATTGATGCCTGATGCTCTGCTGGGTCTTTCTGGTGATGCCGTTCACCGAGATGAGGACGTTTTGTGAGCTCTCTGAAGAAAGGTCACATGCACAACAGGTCTCTTGATGATGGGGAGGAAAAGAAGAGTGAAAAGGACAGTTGCGATGGGACAGTCAGAAGACAAGGAGGGAATGAAGACCGAGGAGCTTCCTGGGACGTTTGGCGTGAAATACAGGGCAGCTCAGATCGGAAGCCAGAAAGGCATTGAGTTAGGTGGGGGCTGGAGCGGGGCAGCGACCCGTGACATGTAACACAACTGTGCCCGCAGAGCAGAGGGCTGGCAGCCTGCATCCTGAAAGAGAAGCCGGAAGAAGCAGTTTGTGTTCACTTAAGGCCTTGATTTCTAAGCTATAGGATATTCTTAAGAGACGTGTGCACTGCCGTAAAGGTGCACATCACCCAGTGAGATTTCAATTTCCTCACTGTGAGTGGTCCTTCTCTTTTCTCTGGAGATACATTAAGCTGAATGTTGCTGGTCATCACCCACACAACACTGGTTCTCCCTGTGAACGTGCTGATTCTGTTTATTGCTGTCTCTGTGGATTGTTTCCTGTGTAGCACATTCACATTTAAATTCCTGATTCCCCAAATGTCTTACCTGATTATTACTGTAGTTTCACATGTTACTTATACTCTGGTTCAGAGACCAACTGCCATGTCTAGAAATAAGGGAAGAGATTTGCTATTTTAAAAAACTTTATTTTATGTTGGAGTAGAGTTGATTTACACTGTTACGTTAGTTTCAGATGTACAGCAAAGTGACTTAGTTATCCAAGCCTGGCTACTTAATAGATGAAAATGATCATGTACCATTACAAACTTCAGAGGGTTTCCCCATCCCTGGGCTTGTGGATCCACTCAATGTGCAATTAACTGGTCAGAAAATATCTACTGCTGTTATCTCAGAGTCTTTTGGATGAAAGGGATTTCTAGTTTCTCAATTCATAAAAAATGGAGATGGAGACTCAGACAAGGTCCCTGTGCAAAGTTACAGTTACTTACCCGCTTGCAATGGTTCAGTGACATTGACACAAGCATGATCATGGGAAGTCCACGGTGAAAGCACAGTTTCCAGCTGTCTCTTCTTGTCTTACTTTTCTGAAGACTAAATTTTCCAAGATGAGATGCAAAGTCATTTTTAAGCCTTCACATACAAGGTTTTTAATATTCGCTGTCAAACATTTATTTAGTCCTCACCATGCGCAGGGCACTGCATTAGGTGCGTCTTCTAAAATAAGCCATGTGAGGGAATGAAAGATAATTTCTGATTTAAAAAGCCAAATTATGAAAATGTAATATTTATTAGGCACTTGTAAGATAAAAGGCACTTGCTAGAGCATCACCTCTGCCAGCTTTACACCTCTGTGAAATTTCTGGTTTGCTCAAGTTGATATGGGTCTGATGCTAATGGGAACGAGGGCTGGAGTGTAATTCCTGAGAGCTTGGTGTGACGAATGTTAATTCTGACCAATCATGTCTAACACTCGGTAAATGAGTTCTGCAGTTGAGGGGAGTGGGGCTGGCAGAGCTAATGGTGGTCTGGGGACCCCCAGGACCAGTGAGGGATGTAAGAGGCGGGAAGAGGAGCTGTGCAGAGTGGGCTCCCAGAGCTTTCCCACCTGGGCACCAGGCAGCAAGGGGGCCTGGGACACAGGACCTGGAGCCGAGAGTGAGGCAGAGTTCATTTGGGGGAATTAACACTTCTCTTCTTCTGAGGGTTCTTTCCAGGCATAGGAGTTTATAATGCACTCCTGCGGCCCCAACTCTCCTCCTCTCTCTGCTCCAGGAAAGGTGTCTGATTGGGTGGGTGTGTCCTGTCTGGTCCAGATATCCAGAAATACTATCAGTTCAGTTCAGTCACTCAGTCGTGTCTGACTCTTTGCGACCCCATGGACTGTAGCACACCAGGCCTCCCTGTCCATCACCAACTCCCAGAGCTTGCTCAGACTCATGCCCATTGAGTCAGTGATGCCATCCAACCACCTCATCCTCTGTCATCTCCTTCTCCTCCTGCCTTCAATCTTTCCCAGCATCAGGGTCTTTTCCAATGAGTCAGTTCTTCTCATCAGATGGCCATAGTATTGGAGCTTTAGCTTCAGCATCAGTCCTTCCAATGAACACCCAGGACTGATCTCCTTTAGGATGGACTGGTTGGATCTCCTTGCAGTCCAAGGGACTCTCAAGAGTCTTCTCCAACACCACAGTTCAAAAGCATCAATATGATCACCTGCCTACAAACACCAGCTCCCTCCTCCCACCCGGACGTCATCGTAATGGAGGGGTATTCTGGTGCTGGTTGAGTTTAGAACCAACTCAGCAAAGCTGTCATTCTGTACAAGGGACAGGAAGACATACAGAACCTCTTCTCAGCAGAATCGGCTCCATATTGCTGGGTCTTTGCTGTTAGTTACACTTTTTTCTTCTTTTTGTCTGCATGGGTCTCTGTTGCAGCATTCAGGCTTTCTCTAGCTGTGCTGCGTG